CATTTGGGTGTTAACTGCTTGGGCACGAGGGACCGCGTGGCGGCCGTTCCGCTGGGAGCGGGGAAGCGGTGTTATCCTGCGGAAGGAATGGCAGGGAACCTGGATGCACCTGGGGCGTGGCGCCATTTCATTCCTTTTGGATGGACCCATGGACAATGACGATGGACGGACTCTGCCGCCAAATCGCATGGGTACGGGGTGTGCGAGGGAGCACCGTGCAAAAACGAAAAGGAACGGCTGAGGGCTGGAAATTTCTTTTGTCGCGTGTGCCACGAAATGTTGGCTTGCATGTTGGTGCAAGAGGGGCTGGCGAATCAGCGCAGCTCTCACTCCATCTCTCTGTGTGCGCACACAAATGTTGCCTCCGCTTCCCTTTTTCTTTTTCTATCTTGCTGGCATTAATGCGGCCATCCGCCACGGCTGCCCCCGCCAACAGCACTAAGACGACCAAAGTGTGGTGCGTAGTTTGGTCACATGTTAGTCAAGCTGGATAAGTGGTGGAAAAGTAAGGCCCATCGCCGTATCCGGGGGGCTCGGGGGGCGCGATTCGCCAGCCTCAGGTTCCATGCTGTGTTTATTTTCGCCGCGGTGGGTCTCGTCGAGTGGGTCATGCGGTCGACTGAGAGCCCGACCGTCTACCACATCTCGCCGCCGCCCGTGCCAGCGCCGCCACCGCTCCCAACTTCCATCGGCTACTCGTTGGGTCAAGAAATGCCGCACTTGCGATCCATGGAGCTCGAGGCGGAAATCCCACCGCAGGTGCCACAGGTCCGGGGATTGGATTATGTCTCACTGCGAAAAGATGGAAGATTTTTGTGAGGGAATATGGTGGCAGAAGGGAGCGTCTTTGGCGCGCTGGTGGTTTTTACATCATTCTCGTTCACCAAACACGGCACCATCCTTCCATGCCCAGTGGTGTTCTGAAGAGGATGAAGGAGGACACACGCACGCACACACACAACCGGCCATGTCCGCTTCATGTGCCTCTTTTCTCATCGTGTCTTCTCCCCCTGTCGCTTCGATGTGGCTGCAGACCCACACGGCCACGAAGCCCGATGACGAATGGGCGAAGAGCTCTCCCACTGCCGTTTTTAACGGAGACACTGACGTGCGTCAGCACCACTCTGCTCTCTCTGTCTTTATTCTCTCATGTTCTCTGTTGTTGTTGTTGTTGCTTTTGTCTTTGCCGCGCAACTGCCAGATACTACTCAGTAGCCACAATAAGCAACACAAAAAACAGCCTTTTATTTTTCCAAGACAATGTCCTGCGGAGACGCAAAGCTCAACCACCCGGCACCCGACTTCAATGAGACGGCGCTGATGCCCAACGGCACCTTCAAGAAGGTGGCCCTCAGCTCCTACAAGGGCAAGTGGCTGGTGCTCTTCTTCTACCCGATGGACTTCACCTTCGTCTGCCCCACAGAGATCTGCCAATTCTCGGACCGTGTGAAGGAGTTCTCTGACATTGGCTGCGAGGTGCTTGCCTGCTCCATGGACAGCGAGTACTCCCATCTGGCCTGGACAAGCATTGAGCGCAAGCGTGGCGGACTTGGCCAGATGAACATCCCCATTCTTGCCGACAAGACCAAGTGCATCATGAAGTCGTATGGTGTGCTGAAGGAGGAGGATGGCGTGGCGTACCGTGGCCTTTTCATCATCGACCCGAAGCAGAACCTGCGGCAGATCACCGTCAACGACCTCCCCGTTGGCCGCGACGTGGACGAGGCCCTTCGTCTTGTGAAGGCGTTCCAGTTCGTGGAGAAACATGGCGAGGTGTGCCCCGCCAACTGGAAGCCCGGTGACAAGACGATGAAGCCGGATCCCGAAAAGTCCAAGGAGTACTTTGGTGCTGTCGCGTAGCGTGGCGGTTCACAGTCTCCATTGTGACACTGGTTTTTTTTTTGTTTTTGTTTTTGTTACTTTTATTGTACTAAGTTTTTTTTCTGTTTTTTTATTTTTGGTGGGGGCGTTTTGTTATATTAAATTTATTGTTTTTTTGTTCTTTTTTGTTGTTTTTTCTTGGGGACACTCTTTTTTTTTTTTTTTTTTTGTGCGTGCGTTTGTCCAACTGTCGTAAACAAGACAAAGGGGAGGTTTGGCGTTTTGCGCGTGGATAATTTGTCGCATTTGTTTTTGTTTGCAGCCGATGTACGATGCTTCCCATACTTTCTCCTGTGTATTTTTCCGTTTGCTTTTTTTTCTCCCTTTTTTTCCACCTCTCTCTTTTACAGTCCTCGTTGCTGAACGAAGAAAGAAGTATAAAAGTAAAAGTGACTGCCTTTTCTGTCTGTGTGTGTTGTCTTGTTGTTGTTGTTTACGGGGAATGTCGAGCTTCAGTGAAGATGGCGGTGCCTTCGCGGAGTGTTTCTTTGCGCAGTACCCTCTCGGTATGGGACGAAAGCCCCTGCCGCCGGTAGTCATGGAGAAGATTGCTGGCAGACGGGATGTGCGTGCAACCGATGCGATTGCTGGACCAACGCACGGCATCTCCTCGCATCCTTTATTTGCTGCCGTGCCCAACACCGAGGCCCTCATTGTGGGGTCGTCGGATTTGTCAGCCGGCGGCGTCAGCACTCTCAGCGCAAAAGGGAGTGTGGTGCAAGACAGCGATGCGGAGGCACTGGCGGAGACAACGGAGAAGACGAAGGAGGCATTGGAGGAGGTTCTACGTGGTCGGCAGGCGCAAAAGGAAGATTTCAGCGGGCGGAATATCCGGCGGGCGCCGAAAACGAAGCCGGGGCTGGAAATTTACTCCCGGGGGA